GGAAGTGTCCGCTATGATTGCGGTCAGCTTGGTCATTTTCTGGAGACAAACTATAGGGAATTGATCCTTTCCTATCCACAGAAGTCGAGTTAAACTCTGCTAACATGTTAATTCTGAGGTCAAGTTTACTTTCTGTACATCCTTCAGTACACCCCTGCCTGGGAACCATGTGAGATAGATTGCTACAGCTAGTTCAGGCCTGATTCTCACATATTGTGCTTTGGGGGAGTTGCTCTAATTTCTTCAGTAATTAGGCCAGTTGATATCAGTTCATAATATAGCTTGTACATGCCTGTTTCCCATGATATATGCTGTGTCAGACACAAGACAAAAATTTACACATTTAGATGTGAGCCCTAGACAGGTGTTTGTCTCATGTCCCAAAAATTGTTTAAATATTTCAGGCAGGTGCTTGAATGATTGCCATTAAAAGCTAACTTACCATTTATCTCCTTTTTAAATGACATGTTGATTTAGTACTGCATGCACATTAGTGACATGACTGAGCCTGTCTTAATTATTCTTTTATTTAAGTCTACAAATTATCATTAGTTGTTTCTCTGTCAGGTTAACACAGATTGTGGCAAGTATCCTTCAGTTTAAAGTTCTGGATTTTATCAAGCAAAAACAATGTTATTATTGAGTTGCTGAATCTTAACATAATTCCTCTTAAAAAGAGACAGCAGCAAACAATTAATACATAGGTATGACGAGCAATGCTTGCTCTTAATAAGCTCCCAGAAACCTACCACCAGCTAATAGCATGCAAAGCAGTTTGCTTGGTTCTGTAAAACAATCCACTTTTTTATAGCATAAAAGTAATAGAATATTGGATTAAGGATGCAAGGGATGCTAGAATAATATTTGCAGAAAGCAGGAAAGACAGTTAGAAGAAAGTTAAAACAGGATGCAATCATTATACTGAAGTAAATACAGTATTTTGAGAATACCTTCTATTATTCTTGCGAATATTCTCAGGGGCATAACAAGGCTTTATATCACAGATAATTAAATGCAGTCTCTTTACTATTATATCTGTTGTATTCCAGAGAGCAGTAGGTTATAGGGCAATAGACTGAAATTAGATTTTAGCAGAACATGTGTCCTGACCTTTCTTTAAAGCAGATCTATTTACTTTATAATGCAGTTCATCTTGTAGGAACTGATGTACTCATAGCCAATGTAAAGGTTAAAACATATGTGACTCTTAAACTTCCTTGCTTCTAACTCTAACACAATTCTTTGTTTATATTGTGCAAAGAGATATTTTAAATAGCTAGTATTGAAAATAATCTTCTTTGTGGTGATGTTAATTTCAGCTATCCTAACGTTTATACATGCAGCAGAGCAAATGCGTTTCTAAATTGCAAATCTAATGGGCCTGATCTTCTCAGCGTAAATCAGAATAGCTCCAGTGAATCAAATACTGAAGCCAATGAAATTTCACTGATTTATATCTAGGTGCCTAACTCAGAGCTTAAATGGATTAAAGCCAGATTTACATGATTGTAAGTGATAAGATCTTGGCCTCATGTATTTTGATACATTATGGGCCAGATTGGGAAACCCTTATGTCAGTGGCACAACTTGCATGACTAAGTGCTCACTGATGTGACTGTGGGCTGCACAATCTGGCTCTGTATTACACAGATGTAAACAAGTAACCAAGAGAAAGTTATTAAGTGGCTTTGATGATCTCATAAATAAACACGTCATGACACTTAAGTAGCTTTAATAGTATCAGAACCACAAGAAATATGTACAGCCTTATATTACAGATGCCCTGTGCTGTGGTCTTTAAACATAATGGATGAGAGATGGTTCAACTATATCACGCCATGATTCTGGATAACATTTGATTTGCAGAGAAAAAAAGTCACATAAAATAGGACAATGATGCACTATGCAATGCAAATAGGAGGTTTTGCACATTCCTTACTGCTCTTACCATTGTTGTCTATTGATCACCAAAATCTTTTTCCCTTGCCCCGTGATCTGTTTTCCTCCTCCTTTCCCCCTTGTTTTTATTTTCTCTTCCTTTGTGTAATCTGTTTTTCTAGCAAGACCTTCACATTTAAAGCACTATGTTTTTTTCCCACCAGGTAAATTTGTGCATTAATACCGCTTGTAATTTAATGCTAATGCACATAATAGACATTTTGTATGTGCATGCATACACATTTCAGATGCTAATATAGGTATATGTATTAATAAGTGGCGATTCTATGTACATCACATAGGCTAATTTGCAAGGAAATCATAAATTTGTGTTGACAGCATCCAAACTCTCAAGGCAGTTCCCACATAGCCCATCTCCTGAAACACATGTCCGCTTATACAGATAGATACAGACATGTACCAGCAGAGCAACACATCATGGAGTGACATGGTATAGGACCTGGATGAACAAATTCTCGTAACATCCCACTCAGATGGCAAGAGATTATTGAATTTGCTCATTGACAACTCCTAGCTGTAGTAAAAGAGTTTCCCATAAAGTTGAAGTAATCTGAACAAACAAAATACATGGATACAAGTGTAAAATCTATTGTCTATCTATATAACACCAAGCTCTGCCTTAATCTTCTTGAGAAATATAGATATAATTTTATGCCTTAGAGAGATTTTTTTTTTCCCACATGTTAGTTACTTTTATAATCCCTGCTTTTGTCATTCCTTGCATTTGACATGTGGAATTCACATGAATTACAAATTCCAGTCTTATAAACCACAGTAAAAAGTGCAATAAGTAGTAAAAAAAAAAAAAAAAAAAAAAAAAAAAAAGATTTCAAGGGAAAAAACCTGGGCCAATAGCTCTGTTCAGCCATGATATGATAAATATTGATTCACCTGGCTGTTAGGCCTTTCTACAGGATTATCCCAAGCCTATTTTTATTGCTGTGCGCACAAGCAGGTAGCAAGCAGCAGGTTGGACACAGGAGCAGCCTGGGCTCCCAGGGCAGGGGTTGCAGCTGGGGCAGCAGCACAATCAGGGGCCCTATGAGCCTGCTCCCTGCAGCTCTGCTGGGCTTTGATACTGGAGGCTTAAGACCAGAAAATTCTTCTAGAAGATGCAAGCCCAAATCCAGAGACCCTGGGATCATACCATTGGCTAGCATTGAGTCATCTCTGTCAGGGTATAGAGATAAAAGAAGGGCAAGGGGAAGGTGCTGGACAGGAGTATTTCCTCAGTGAACTTTTTCCTCTGAGGACCAGGGAGCACAAAAGGTCATTCTAAAGGGTTTTCAGCTGCATGGGCAATGGGGGAGAGCAAGCACCTCAGTGCCTGTGGTACCCCCTCTGTCCTGCACCCAGCCTTCCCCTGATCTCTGGCTTCCCAAGTGAAGGAGTGCATCTTGCTAACAGCACTCAAAGAATAAAAAAGAAACCCTTATATATTTTGATATTGCAGCACTTGTTACCAGCAACAGCACCATGAAAAAACAAAAGAGGTTTCAATGGCTAATAAATACAGCTGCATCCTGACCACTATCACAGCTGCTCCAGAACTGGGAGTTTGGAGGGCCGCAGTCACTAACACTACTCATAGGAACAGGAGGAGCTGAAGAAGGGGCCTCACAGCAATGCAGCAGTACAGAGGGATCTCTGCAGCATCGTCTGGGGGTGCCTGGAGACGTCAGGGCCCCCAGCATAACCATAAACCTTTCTCCTGCTATGGGTATCAAAACAGTAAAGAGAAGCTCTCCTTTTTCTTCAAAGCAAAGCCCTCCTGTGAGAGGGATGGTCTGTCTTACAGCGCACAAACTGCTTGGAAATGAGGGAGCCGGTACAATGGCTGCTACACAGTCCTCTTACAAAGCAGGAGGGAGATGAGAGGCTGCAGCATGCTCAGCACCTCGAAGTGCTCCCTGCAACTCCAACACGCACACAGCTCCCTGGGCATAGGCACTTGCAGCCCTGGCAAGAGCACCTTGCCCCTTTTTCACCCTGTTTCTTCACCTTTGTGACATTTCCTTCAAGTTTCTAAACTCACATTCCTGCTCCTCTCTTAGATGAGCACATGCAAGGGCACCAATATGCACAGGGGGTTGAGGGAAATGGCGAATCACAAAAAACAGCAATTAATGTGAAAATGTTACATGCAGTACTTTTTTTTTTTTAAGCACATTACATGAATTCAGTATCTTATAGGGATTGTTTTTTTCCCCTCAAACAAGAGACCAAGCTATCTCTCATAACTAAAATAAAAGTAAACTATGAAACAGCACAGGCTTGATGACCATCCTCAGTAATGTAATTTAAAGCCCCACAAAAATACACTTACACTGGCATAAATCTCAAAGCCTGAGGAACAATTACTGCCAGAATAATAAGGGATATCAACACTGATTTTAACATGAACAAAATGGCTTTTTCAGTGTTCTTAGAGGAAAAGTAGAAATATTATGGGAAAGGCCTTACATAATAACCTTTTTGTAAAGCTTGGATGGCAAGATGATTCTGTAAGACACTGAAGTCACATGTCATTAATCAGAAATGACAGTCTTTATTCATGTATATTTGACTGAAACTGCATAATTTTAGCCTCCAATAGCCCTGGATAAATGACCCTAAGTATAGTACTTTTTCAAATTGACAATGATTGATGATGGAGAAGAAATTATGAACACAGAAGAAGTAAACATGAAAAATAGACAAACCCTTTAGTATCAAACAGATTTCTTGTTTTCACTTCTCCAACTCCTTCCATCTCATTTTTTATCTCTATAACCTTGCTCATCATGTTTTAATCATTTTTATGCTACTGCATTTTTTACATTTTGCCTGCGGTGCCCCCACACTAAATCCAGAGCTTGCTGAAAGATTCATTCAGATAAATGGAATTGATTTCATATTTTCCCGTTCATGAAAAGAGTCTTTAAAGTTGGAAACTCTTTATGCAGAACAAAACTAAGGAAACTGATTACTTCTAGAAAGCATTTATCTACATCTCTTGACAAAACTGCATAGCACGTCCTCACGTGAGCAGCATTACTTACATGACACATGGTGAACCAGCCACACTGCTCTATAGAAGCAGTCCTACAGCTTTCAAGTCCCTTTTATAAACACAAGCCACCTGGCTGACCATGGGATAAATAATGTTCTTAAGTGATTAAAACCCCACCCTATTGATTGTTTTACAAACCAGTATGTGCTTGCACTAATTGATGAAACAGTGAAGAGAAACCAGGACCTAATTAAATTTGTTGGGATTTAACAAGTCCTCCTCCACAGCAATACCTACTGCTGGAATTAATGACTGCAGCAGTTGGGTTTTGAAAAGAAAATAAAAGAAAATAAAAAGCAAAACCTGCCTTGGCACCAGCTGATGCTCTGTGCATGGGCAGGATGTGGGTTGGAGCCTCGAATACTGTTCATTGTATGCCTTCCTCAAGGTGTCTGCTTGTACACGAGCTTGAATTTATGGCAGGGAATCAGTATGGGGGGAAGCACACAGTGGCAGAGGGTTCAGCTCCTTGCTGGCAGGGCTGGATCCCTTGCTGTGACCCACTGGGATGGGGCCAGTGGTGAGACATAGGCAGGGAGGGAGCTGCCCCACACGCAGTCCCTCTACTCCAGCAACCCACTGTCTGTCCAGGTGAGGCTTCCCATTTCAGCTGGGATCGTGTGGTGCAGCCTACAGAACAAGTTTTATACCACAAGCAAAGCAATCAAGCAAGAGGAAAGCCAGTAGCTTGCAAAATGTACAAATTATTTCATAACATATCTCCTTATAAAAAGCTTTAAGATCTGAAGATGAAATCAGAAATAGGTGGCAGCCCATTTTTCTATTCAGATTGAAGACTGGCCAAGCCCACCCCCACAGCCCTGATCCCTGGTTTGTCAGCAAGGCCCATGGCCTTCATGTTCATCCCCTGTACTCCAAAGCTTTGAACTGACTCTGTGAGAACAGAATTCTGCATCCCGTCACTAAGGGCACACAAGTGAACGTAGCCTGTACAAAATAAAAGACTTTATTGGCACTTTTCTCTGTCATAAGAATGACTCTCATATTAGACTAATAAGGCTAATATTGCCCCTGTGTTACCACTTTACGAAAATTTGCTAATGGGATTTAGACTTGCTTAATGAACATTTCCTGGTTCTTCCAAACACCCGTGCTGCTGCTCGCCATCCAAAAGCTGACCCGTGACGTCACAGTGGGAACCACCAGCAAGTGGTTGATGCCAGGAGAGGCCAAGTTGGCTTTTCTCACACAGTGCATCGTGTAACATCATCCCACATCAAGTTACACCACATTAGGGCTCCATACAGCATAGTAGGAGGCAACATCCAAAGGAATAAGCTTGAAGAAGCCCACCACTTCACTAAGGTGCTTGTGCAGCAGAAGTGGGTGCTGCCACGATCGATAATCCTGGTCTGCCGAGCCCTGCACCCTGATTTGGGAAGGGACAGCATGGACCCAGCACCAGTCTCCAAAACAAGGTGGCCAGAATACATTGCAAACACTTTCCCCAGCAGTCCTGGGCAGGGGGACTGGAGGGAGCACCATGGGCACATGCCCTGTCACGGTCTGGCTGGCAATTCTCATATTTCAAAATAATAATTTAATAGCATCAACAGAAGTTATTCCCTGCTGTTTGCTTTGAATAAATTCTGCCTGTTGGGTTGGTGCTTTACCAGACGTGTAGTTTTAAGTTTAGCTTGTTCCATTTGTTTTCACTTGCACTGACAAGGCATAGCGATGGTCTGGACTTCTGCAGGAAGGCACGGCAACTGTTGATTTGCAAGTGGGAAGATGCTAGAGGCATTTACAGAGAGCCGCAGGGAGCACTTCTAGGCTAGGAGAGCAATCACTATAGATAGACTGACCAAGTCAATGGCTTTGCTATAGATCCATTAAGAGGACCAGTTCTCACTTCTTACAATTGTAGAAGGGCCATCTGACTAGTCCAGAAAGCAATAAAGCTCCATTTTTCCTCACTTACAGCTGTCACAATTTTCTGCTGGGCCATGAAGACAACAAGGAGGAAAGCTGGAAAAGTCTCGGTCATAATTCTGCATTCCCTGGCACATTTCTCAGCTGCGGAATTATGCAACAGAGGAATCTGTCCTCGGGTGTCTGCTTTTCTCCTGCCATAAGTCATGGCTTGTAACGTTGCATTCAATACCCAACAAAACAAAAAGAGTCCCTCTCTGTAGGAGGCATTTGGGTCAACTTTAACAGTGTGAAGGGCTCCATGCAGGGAGCAGTGTGCTGTGCTCCAGGAAGCAATGAATGCCAGTGTTTATCCAGCAGGAATCTGGAGCATCTGAAGTTCTCTTTTGTGTTTTGTTTTGTTTTTTTCCTCCTTTACTATCTTTTCATCCAAGTGAAAGGCTTATGGGGAAGAGCCACTACACAGTTTAAAAACAGATTAGTGAGCAGATGTTCTTCTAAACCAAGTACCCACCATGATTTTTGTTTATTATTAGACCATGTTTACACCACGAAGCTGTGATGAGAGTGTGCACACTTGTGCTGCTCATCAGGGCCATCCTGCTGCAGGGTCTAGTGCAGAAAATCCAACCTTGGCAACACAGCCACGATGCCATTAAAAGGTAGTCACTGGATCAAGCTGTTCTACCTTCATAGCAAGCTCCTGGTGCACCAGCTGAGAGTCACTAGCACTACAGAGTCATATATTTCACTACTGTCGCTACGAAGTGTGGTTTCCATCACACAAGGGCCAGATTACTGTTACATAAGCCTTACAATGTACTGCAGCCTTGACTGGACTGGACAGACTTTTTGGGAACAACCTCCCAGCACATGGTCCTCTGATGCTGACTGATGTCCAGCTGTGGGTCATTAGAACTCATTTCCAAGCTTATAGCCCTTACCAGTTTACTCTATGACTTCTTTTCACTCCTGAGGTGGGTACTATATCATATAACACCTGAGAAATGTGTACACCCTGATTTTAGCCAGATGCAGGTGGATTGGCTTATGTCAGTAATTAGTCAATCCTCAGCACAAAAGGCATAAGCAAAGTGAATCGATGTTAATAAAATATTAAAACAAGGACTCCCAAACAGTCTACATGTATTGATCATACAAGGAAAACCACAGAAATGAGCAGAACCCCAGCCCCTGAGCCAGCTTCCACCCTGGCAATCCAGGGCCGTGGAGCTCCTCATTCTCATTCACACAAAGGTTACCGAGGCATCACTCTGGCAACATAAAGATACCTCAAAGGGGATATAAATATTCAAACCTTAAGGTCCATTTATATAGCTAGAGCGAGGTAAAACAGCCTCAGGGTAAATGAGAATTAAGATAATAGATTTTAAGGCCAGAAGGGATCACTGTGATTATCTAGTCTGATCATAGTTTTACTCAATAATTCATTTATCAAGCTGATGCCTTCTCTTCACAGGAGTGCATCTCTGTGCCACAGGTATTTACTGCACAGTGAGCCCAAAGAATACTTTGCAATGCATATGTCAAGGCTACACAAGACAGTGAAGCACTTTTGTGGTATTCAGGTGTCCTGTTTTAAGTTCTGGGTTCCTTGGGTTTGGGATGGGTCACAACAGGTTGGGAACCTCAGGCTCATAGTTTTGCTTCAGCATTTCAGATGGGGTACAGCAGTACAGACAGTGGTGAGGAGAGTTATTCTGGAAAAGAGAAAAAAAAAAAAAAAAAAAAAAAGAGTGGTTAAGAGGAAACTTCTGGTTAAGACAAATGCCAGAAACCACAGATCATACTTATATTAATCCCATGTCCCGTCATAGTCATGGTCATTGGCGGAAAGAAACGCTTCTGAGAAAGAGCTTTGGCAAAAATGAGGAGGTGGGAAGACTTCAGACTTCAGCTCTAAGGGGGATGCAATAGTCTCAGCCTGAAACGTGGAAAATGCAGACACTGACCTCTGGGCTCATCTCCTATCCTCCTAGGGACAGAAGTTCATATGCACTGTGCTTGAGCAAACTCTTTGTGCTCTAGATGACCTACTTGCAAAAAAAAAAAAAAAAAAAAAAAAAAAAAGGAGGGGGGTCAAAAGTAGGCCCTTGCAGAAAAACAGATGCTGAAAGTGAGCTGAACAATCTTGGGTAATTAAATTGTAATAAAAAAAAAATCGCTTCATTCATTAACTATGGTAATTGACCAAAAAAACAGTATGACACCTGCTATTTTTATTATAACTGCCCCAAAATAATTCAGGGTGCAATCTCTATGTGGAACAGGTCATTTAGGTTTAACATGGCTTCAGATTATCATATTAAACAGCTCATAAATGTCCTCACCTTTTATTTCCAATGACTGATTCCAACAGAGTTTGACCAAAGAAGAATACTTAGCTCAGGATTTATAACAAAGTGTTTCACCATGTTACTAGAAGATTCATCTCCTTTTGTATTTGTTTCTTTGCTTCCAATTCCTTTAGGCCCTATTTAGCATGAAGTGCAGTCTTTATAGATCTCCCAAAGTTTCGTGGATTTTTCTTCCTATTTTCTTTTTTTTACTATTTAAATGTGATAACATACAATCCTATTGTATTTTTTATGTATTATTTACGTTGTGTCAATGTATGGAAATGTGTTCCCTGCAAAGTACAGTCGGACAGATGTACTGGAGGTGAAAAAAAAAAAAAAAAAAAAAGACTTTATTTTTCAGTAGAGCTTTCTTTCTTTTTCCTTTTTTCTTTTTCCTTTTATTTATTTACATCTTGCACAATAAAGATTTATTGTCCAACTGCACAGATGTCAATACTGGGCTAATTCCATGTCTCACTCAAACAAGGTTCTTACTACAATAATGTACTTACCAAGATTACAACTGCTGTGGAAATCGGTTGCAAGCATCCAACAAAACATATTTCTCCCAGTTTTAATTTAAGTAGTAGAAAGCAAAAAGGAAAAGAAAGAAGATGAATTCATATAAAGTAACAACTTCAGTTTGTTTTTGTCCTGTCAAAACTACCCCAAAGCTTTTAACTCATGTCTAGAGAATTTTAGCCAAGCTTCTTCTTGGCTGTGTGTTTTAAGGGCTCTGCTTATTTTCAGTTTCAGCTGTACAACTTGTACAGCACACTGAATGATTTAACCAAGCAGATTTAGAGTTCAGTAGACAGTGTTCTTTGTTAGATTTTAGTCACATACCAAATTCAATAGACTCTCTGCTGCAGGCGTACGTCAAAATGCCAGGAAGGCATGAGACATTGTTGAATATGTTGGAGTTTATTGTTTAGAAAAAAATTAAACTTGGTCTCTCATTCAATCTTTAATTAAATAGTCATACTCTAAAGCTCAAGGGACAAAGGAGAAGAGAGAATAAAGACAGTTGTTCTGTAAAACACAACAGATATTTCTTTATAGCTGTATTGAACAAGTCAGTATATGTCATCCTCTCTGAAAATAAATATAAGTATGTTGGGTAAATGTGTTCCAAGCAATAAATTACCATCACTACTGCTAGCTATTACCTACATAAGATCATTAACGAACAGACAGCTTTTCTGCATAAATAGAGCTGTGTTTGTTTCCTAATAAGAACTGCCATCATATTCTCAGCTGGTGAGTTTTGGAAAACAAGTCTTAGATCTCTGTGCAAAGACCTCACACAAAAACTGAACAGCCATATGTGATAGCTAGCTAAAAAACAAGTCATTTCACTGCTCCCTGTCTGCACATTTGTCCTTAAATATGAACACAGAGCAGACTGCACATTAGATCCTGGGCATCAGGCGTCAGGCTTGCATTGCCTAAGACCGAAGAACAGCCAGCAGTCTGCCAAGCCCCCGATTTCAAGGAACCCATTCAAAGGCCACTGTTAGTGGTCTGACCACAAATCCGCCCAAATTGATTCAGAGTGGGAACGCCTGAGAAGTGCTCAAAGTGTGGAGAACCACACCACAGAAACCCAGGAGCCATTAATCATGTCAGCCCCACCATGCTGCAAGTATTTGCCTTCCCCAGGCTTGTGGTGGGAAGCATCCAGAAGATTTCTTCCTTAATTTCCGTATATCATTTAAGAGAGTTTTCGTTTCATATATCCATCACATACCCATCCACGGGACGTGGTTCTTACAACTGTATGCCATGTATATGACAATATACATGTCTAGACAATAAAGCATGCCATTAACCTACATTAAATAATAATAATAATAATAATAATAATAATAATAATAATAATAATAATAATAATAATAATAATAATAATAATAATAATAATAATAAAGCTTTGGCTGCTTTCTGTCTTTGATTGTATGATCATCAGAATATCATCAACTGAAAAAATAAGTCTTTTACCCTAGTTAATTGTTAAAGAATGTGTGACAGAAGTCCTTTATTCCTGCTAATGTAATGAGAATGGGAAACGGTACAAATTCTAACCCATTTAATTATAATGTTTAAATTGTAAGCTTGTTTTCCTCCTTGCAGAGCTTATTCACAGTAACTTGCAACAAATCCGTCAGCAGCACATTAAACTTGTTTTCTTAATATTCATATTCCTAATTATCTATTTAATGTGGATAGCAGAAGTCAATTATTCCTGTTCTTGGAATAATTGACTCCAAATATTTTAAAATACAACTAAAATTTTACAGGGTTATGACCAAAATTGTCTTACTCTGATGTGTGAAGGTCACTAAAATCATCCAATTCGAGGTGACTAGTTGCTGGTCAGTGCTTGGCAATTGGACTTGTTCAGAAGAGACTAATGTAATTCAGATGAGTACATTTTCACATCTTCTTCAACTCCCATTTTCACAGATTTTGCCTATAGAATTTGTTCATGTCGTGGTTTCAGCAGCATGTTGTTATTGCTATGTCTCCTGACTGCACTTCTGATTTTGTTTAAGGTTATACAACTACTTAGGAATGCCATCCAGAGATCTGTCCTGAGGCAGGATAGTTACGAGTGGCAGGGAGTGTGGGAGGATATGGGCAGGCATATAGAGCTGTGGGCACCTCCAGTGCTTTGAAAATTCACCCCTGAACAACTGAAAAAAAAAAAAAAAACAAAAAACAAACAAACAAACAAACAAACAAAAAAAAAAAAAACACCAAAAAACTGTTAGAATGCTTGAAAAAGGTGTATCATCAACCTGGCAATACCAGAGAGACACTGCAATGTGCCGGAGACTGGCCTATGCTTATCGAGCTGCAATCAATGGCACTATAACCCTCGTGACAGATCCTGCACGCACCACAAGTCCTGTGATAGGTCCAATGACCACTCCAACCCCTACCATGGACCCTGCAGTCACTCCAGCCCCTGTGACGGTTCCAGTGGCTGTTCTGACCACTGTAACGGTCCCAGTGGTCATTCCAACCCCTGTGACAGGCCCTGTGGCTCTTCCAACCCCTCTGCCTGTTCCAAACCCTGTGACAGGCCCTGCGGCTATTACAACCCCTGCATTGGGCCCTGTGGCTGTTCCAAACCCTGTGTTGGACTCTATGGCTGTTCCGACCCCTGTGACCGTCCCAGTGGCTGTTCCAACCCCTGTGACAGGCCCTGTGCCTGTTCCAAACTCTGTGATAGGCCCTGCGGCTGTTACAACCCCTGTATTGGGCCCTGTGGCTGTTCTGTGCCATGATGGGCCCTGCGGCTGTTCCAACCCCTGTGACAGGCCCTACAGCTGTTCCAACCTCTGTGACATACTCAATGGTCATTCCAGCCCCTGTGACAGGGCCTGTAGCTGTTGCAACCCCTGTGAGAGGCCCAGTAGCCCTTCCAACCCGTGTGGCAGGCCCTGTGGCTGTTCTAACCCCTTTGTTGAGCACTTTGGCTCTGCCTACACCTGTGTCTGGCCCTGTGTCTGTTCCAACCCCGTGACAGGACCTGCGGTTGTTCCAACCCATGTGACAGGACCTGTGACTGTTGCAACCCCAGTGACAGGCCCTGCAACTGTAGCAGTGCAAGCTGTCCCTGTAACCAAGGCAAAACAATGGATGAGAAAGTCAGGTTGTTTAGGACGCAGAGGAACTCCTACTCAGATGGGGGAGGAAGATGATGACAAGATAGCTACTCCACAGTGGCTGGGCCATCATACAAACAGGAAGATGAAGAGGAAGATATCATAAAAGTATCAATAACTACCCAAGGCCTATCCCAGCGTGAGCTACGAGATACGCAAAAGGATTTTGGTCATTGTCATTTCAGTTGTTGTGCTTCAGTTCATTTAAATTTTGCAGTGGTTTTAAATTGAGTCCTTCAAACTTCAGATCTACAAATAGTCATGGCAAAGGTTTACCTGGCCCATTCTCCAGTGTCCAAAACAGGCTGCGACAGTGTGGGAAGCAGAAGACAATCACAACATGACATTTTACCAGATTGCCTTCCAGAACGCAACAAACCTCTTCTAGAGGCTTCCCAAGCCAGAAATTTCATCTTTGTATTGAATGAGGAAACAAGTCTTTTCCTTGAGAAGTCTGACCAGTACACCCTTTGAACCCACATACACTTCCAGCATCGTGCAGGAGGAGTCCGGCAGTTTAAGAACATATTCTGCAAAGCACAATGGGATGGCAGTCAGAGGTGCTTTACAGACAAGTAGTGCAGGATTTGACCTTGCTCATAAATATGTCATTACAGGTCTTCAGTTGAGAGTATGAGTAGCTATTTGGCAGTTTTCTTCTCTTTCTTGCCTTTTTCTTTTTTTTTTTTGAGCAGAAGTTAACTTTTTTTTTTTTAGTTCAACAGGCTTGAGGCAAATTCTGCCAACTTCCATCTTGAAACTACAATGGCCAATAATCACTTACAATAATCACTTACAACCCAGGTGCCAGGGAGGTGTGCAAGAACCTTTTTAAATGTAAAGTAACATGATTCTGTGACGAATAGAAGGCAAATCATTCTCAATCTAAAAGCAGTTGGAAAATTCATGATGTGTACTCATTAAAAGTGCCTTCAAGATACCAAGATAGGTTTTCTCTATAAATGCAAGTTGAATAAAAATGGTAAGCAGCAGCTATGATGTACAAAACACTTCAATGAACATAGTTGTTTTTGTTTCATGCTGCTGGTGGTTTTAGTTTTTTGTTTTGTTTTTAAGCAAACCTGTATTGCTTTAGAGAGCTGAATGTGGACTAAAAGTAAGAACAGGAGTAGGGAAAGCTGAATGCCACAGCAACGTGAAGAGGCACAGGAAGGACTCTACAGCACTAGGTGTGCTGGGGCAATGTCACCAGGAGGAAGAGAGGGGTTCACTGGACAAAAACATAGCAAGATTGATTTGGCTTTGTGACCAAATACTGGGACAGTGTCCTTTTTGTAACAAATAGCTGCTTAACTGCCTCAGAACATGAGGCATCACGCATACCAAGATGTGAATCAAACCATGCTTCAAGAGGAAACAATGTTGAGACATCAGCTCTTTCAGCACCAACCACATCCCCACATTTTCTCCATGTCCAGCATTGCTAACTACCATCCATGCAGGGCTGCAAGGCTAAGCAGAGCTGCAAAGGTGCAGGGCTGCGGTGTTGCACGCAGTGGGTGCAGAGCAGGGCAGGAGCACCCAAGCCCTCCTAACACATCCCCAGACAGCATCAGGCTCACAGCCAGAGGAGCCTGAGCCTTACTGAGGCACAGCTCCAAGTTAGGGTAATTCTTCTATTTCATAAAGATAGCAGAGCCCCTCTGTCAGGATTTGGTCCGGTAGCACCAGAGCCACTGAGGGCTTTACACTGACTATCAGGAGTTGAGGGCTAAAATGCCACTGGGGCTAAACTACAATCATAAGACAGAAATGCTCTATGTGACACCATAACGAGTTAATGAATCTTTATTCACTTGCTGTTTAACTCCCAGAGGAATCATCTATCAATGTTTCACGTTAGCAGAACTGCTTCAAGGACTGAGTTCCTCTCCATACCTGACCAGCAGATCTCACTCCCAGCTATACCTGCCCAAGCTGCAGGGGATTCACCATTCACCCTCTGCTTTTCCCCACATGAAACCCAGGAGGGCATTTTTAAAGAAACAGGTGGAGTTATCAGCACATAAACACCCCAAACTCTAATTAATCACCAAGAATAACAGCAACCTGGTTCAGCTGTTCATGAAGTCACCTGTTCAATCTGCTGCTTCAGTTTTAACAAAAAAAAAAAATCAACAAACTTGCCTTCACACTTCACTTTCATGGAGCAAAATCTTTAGCAGTATCAAAAACCTAAATAAAACATAAATCCTTTGGGAATTCTCATTATTTCTGTTCCCAAGGCCTGAAGGAAGATGTGATGGATTATGAGCAGTTACAGGCTTCTCTACTGTTCCCAAATCTTAATTATCTTTCCTGTTCAGGAACATACTTTATAAGCAGCTTAACTTTAAGCACGTACTTAAGAATCATTGAATCCAAGAAGCAGAAGGTAGGGTCAGGATGCGGGACACCAGAAATGGTCTCTTAGTGAGCTACAGACAGCATTCGCTTCTCTCCAGGTTGAAAAAGCACCTGAGGCCACTGGTGCCCATGAAATATTTAGATGTGGGCTTTTATTAATTTCTGCAGTTTTTCTTCAATAAAGTCTATGAAATTCAAGCAGACTTGTACTCATAAACTCATGTCAAATCAATATCAATAGGCCTGAACATATGCTTTTGCACTGTACAAAAAGGGCTCAGATGTAATTACACCAGCCTGCAGAGGTTAGCGTCCCATCCTCAACCCCAATCCCCACTTCCGTCACAAAATCAGCCAGCAGAACGTGCCTGCTAGCTACACCCTTCTTCTCACTGATCCAAATACACCACCAGGGAAGTTGGCTGTGATCTCTTGCCTTTTTCTAGGCATTTCCAATCAATTACACTCAGTAGCTGCCTTTCCCACATTTGTTTCCCTTTATTTTTTCAGTAACATCCAAAGGTCCCGGGACAGATCTGTGCCACACCACAGTACCCACCATCTCCAGAAAATACTGCCCATGACCCAAAGACACTGCAATTCAAACAGCTAACGATCTGCAACAGAAATAGAAAAAACATCAAACAGCCCACGTTTTCAAGAGTGCAGGATTCCAGGCTAAACAGCACACCTCTCCTGTCCCTTCCTTCTCCTCCCAAGGCTTTTAATCCTGCAGAAGACAAAAACTATTTTTTTGCATGTGCATTGAACTAGACCTTTCCAATAAATTCATAGATCTGGATCCTCCAATGAACATGTCTGAAGGCAAAAATCAGCCAGCCACCACCTGGTTTTCTGCTTGCCCACGGATGCTGCCATGCAGCTTACATGCTTTGTGGTGCTTTGTTGCCTTGGGTTGGGCTCACAGCCACAGCCAGCTCCCCTCCTCAAATGACGGTCCCCAGAGGCTGCAAACGCTTCAAGCAGCAGCTCAACACACAGCCTTCCAACTCAGGACAGCTCTTTTTTTTTTTTTTTCTTTTCTTTTTTCTTCTTTTCCCTATATTACCCTGCTCACATGACACTTCCAAGAAGATGGACAGGAACTTTTAAATGAGCTCCCAAGCTGAAGTGCTCAGTGGAGACCTGCAAAGCAGGTGCAGCTCCCAGCTCCTTCCTACTTTTGCACACCTGATGCAGCCAGCAACCAACTTGCCACCAGGACTGACCCAGAGCAGGGCCAGCATGCAGCCTACCCTCCCTGTTTCACAGGTGAGGGTTGTTTGTGTCTCAGGGACTTCCTGGGATGATCTTGAAAATCATTTTGCCATCCACATTGCCTGGCTGGGACCGTCTGCTTGCTGAGAACAGGCATCAGAGACTGATGATATGGCCTCAAGTCTGCATAAAGAATGAGTGTGCTGAACCAACAGGAATAACCACAAAGTAACATTTGCCCCCAAGAACGTAGTTTGGATAGTGCCTACATGTGCGTTGCACCCTGCAGGGACTCCTTGAGTCTGTCATGTTTATTCTGAGTTTTATGAGCACCAAACACAATTCTGGAGGAATTCTTGCTGCACATAAAAGCTCATAATTTTGAGAGCAAAAGGAAAGTTTGGGTTTTTGGTATTTTCAAGGAACCCGAAAGCTACTTCTCTACATAGTTTCTTGGCTTATTCAACTTTTATTTGCCTGAGTGCTCAGCTGAGACGCTGCCATGTGAAATGCTTCTGGTTTGTTAAACCAGACGATGCTGCCACAGCGTGCTACCCTTACATTTCCTTGGCTACTGAACCCTAGCTGGTGATTTGTGTAATTAAAGCCAGGCATGCTAGGGTCCCTTAAGGGTGCAGTCTATCCCAGAAAATATACTGTACATAGTCTATCCCAAGACATGTAGAGGTGGCAATACACACTTGTTTCTTTCTCCTGGGTTCACTCCTGTGCTGTGCCCTCACCAGCAGGGGTAAGGGCTGGTGTCGTCCCCTCCCCATGATGCCCTCGAGCCCCATGCAGGCAGTGCCCAGAGCAACCCCTGTCATGGGCAGGCTGGACCAAGGGCTGTGTAACTTCCAAGAGGTGACCTTCCTCTGCTGCCTGGGTCTGTGTTATCGCAGCCCATCTGTTTGTGCTGTCCTCTTGTGCTCCTGGCTCCCCTGGAATGGCCCTGGAGAGCTAGGAGCTACTGCTGGAGATAAAGCAGATAAGGCCAGCAGTCTTGCCAAGTGGGATGGAAAGGACTTGAAATCCATCTTTACTACGGATGTATGTTAGATGAAACTCACATTCAGTTAGAACACTACATGCATCTTGCATTTTTTACAAAAGAGGCACCTCATGTTGTTAACAACTGTTACCAAGGATAATTGCACTGTAATTCTATAAAATAAAATGTAATATAGTACTTGCACTTTCCAATTACACAATAGAAATTGTGAATAATTAAACAAAAATCTCAGGCTTTTTTATGGCTCATTCTAACACTGAGTTTGCATTCACTGTATAAACACCATCTGTAGGAAATGTAAGGCACAGCTATGTAAAACTGTATCACCAACTTTCCAGTGAGCACCCAGTTAAAGTTATTGGTTGCATCTTCCTCTAGACTACCTTCATTCAACAACTTACCCTTTTCTATTCAAGGTCCTGCTTCTTTGCATTCGTGCTTACTCACCTGAAGGACTTCTGCTCGCTGCACAATGCTCCGTGCAGATACCTCGTGTCTGTGACCCTGTTTCCATGGGGTCTTCCCTTGGCTCCATTCTGTACCTGCCCCACCATGCTCTGCCCGCACCCTCAGTGCACAGTTACAATAGTGCACCTGAGGTAGGTACAGGGTGATAGTTTCCAAATTCTTACAGTGCTTTTGAGGTGTTTCAGCAGAAGGCTGCTCGAAGTGAATACCAAAGCAGGGTCTTTTCCCTCTGCAGAGGCCCCGTCTTAAGTATAAAGTGCAAACAATGAAAATGAAAAGCAATAAAAAAAGAGATCCGGGCTTTCAATGCTTCTTAGGGTCAAGCACTAAAACCTCTTTTGACAGCTACACTTGTTCTCCTCAAGAGAATTTGACCTCGAGTAAGGCATTGAACAAAGTGCATATTTTGTCTACACAGGACGAATATGTTGTTCTAAAGCAACAAACAAACCTCAGATAAAACATACAGATAATGTCAGGAAATAAAAAAGACCCTCCCAGAAGTGAAACCCCTACTGTAAGTGATGCAAACTTTAAAAAAAGAAAAAGTATTTCTGATTTCATTGACTTTGTGTTGTATGGCAGAAGGTTAATCAAACTAAAGTGTTACATTTCTCCTCTGTTATTGATTAACCAAAGTCAAATAACATTATCATTTTTCTTAATGCATTTAAATCATGACTGGTCTCCCAGATGCTCTGCACAGTCACTTTGCAGATTTCAGTGGAAGTTGTTTACATGCTGAAGCACTGAGCGTGGATAGAAACACTTTGCTGTGATAGCAACACATACCCAACAGTTTTCATTTTCTCAATTCAGGAGGAAAATTGCTGTCCCTCCCTCTCCTTAGAATTATCTCGCTTTGTACAAGACTCATTCCAACATCATTGGAGAAAATGATAAGCCTGCTTGTGATAGCTGCATTTCTGTGCCCATCTTCAGCTAAGCCCTGACCCAAAGTCCCCTCAAATCACTGGGATTATTTCTCCTGACTTCATGACCTCTTATTTATCCCCAAGGTTGCTACAAAGCTGGTTTTAATTTTTAATAGGATATTAAAAATTGCTCAGTGGAGTTGCTTATGCAGAGAATTTGGCCTAATAGCATAGAAGTGAAATCCTGTCCCACTGAAGCAACTGCAGCCATGCCACCAACTGTGACAGGGCCGAGGAGATACAGTAGTCCAAGACTGGCTGCTCTTTCTCCCTTTGGAATTGTCGGGAAAAATCTTGCATTGGTTTTTAACACCAAACAGAGGTGAGTTGAGAATGGAGCCTGTGCTGATGGGGCTGCACTCACCACCTGCAGCATCTCACAGCCATCCAGTGGACGCTGCTCCTGGCACAGGATCCCAGCGGGTATCTGTGAGTGCAGCTGGACTGCCAGAGATGCACAATCATGGATCAATTAATTTTTGCTGATCAGCAGCTTTGAAAATGGAACGAATTTATCTGAACAAATTCAGCCTGGATTTAAAGCCAAGTACAGCTTCAGCAGACTTAGAACTGAACATGATTTTGACTAGATTTTCACTACTGTTTTTGTTCAAAGAAGTTTAATTTGTCCAAAGCAGCTAGCAAGCTCTGTCTGTTTTCTGCAGTGAAGGATAAGGATTTTATTTGCATTAGGATAAAACAAAACAAAACAAAAAAGCACACACACACACACAAAAAAAAAAAAAAAAAAAAAAAAAAAAAAAAAACCTGCTGATTCCTTAATTCCTTATAGAAGCACAAGTATCTGTAAATTGACGCTCAGAATTACATGGATTTCACCTGAAGCTCAAGAGCTTCCTTAATACACTTTCTGCTGTAAAAGGCCCAAACACTTAGATTTATCTGCCACAACATTGTAAAGGAGAAAACTATGTTTATAAAATTATATTTGTCATCATCTATATTCTGCCAATGCCTCAGTGTGCTAAGTAGTAACCAAATCCTACAGTAGCCCTTGCTACAAAGCACCTAGAAAATTACCCCCCGAGATGCCTAAATGTGTGCCTAATTTTTACATGTGTTATGTACATTTTCCAAATAAAATTATGTGTACATATCTGGACATCTCTCCATTTAAACACCTATCACATTTGGGCTGCCTATTATTCATTTTCTCATGACTATGAGGAACAGGAGGGACAAGAAGGGGTGAGGAAGAGGAGAAGCTCTTCAGGAGGAGATTCCACCACTGGCTGCTCCTGTGATTAGCAGAGCAGAGAGGAATGTGGCAAGGGACAATAAGAGAGACAAGGCTGGGGGTATACAATTTGGTTGATGCCACAGTGCAGCTCCACAGTTGTTTGGTCCCGTATCACTGAAGTCAATAGCACAATACTTGTCAGTAATGGAACACACATTTGGGCCTGGAACACATCCATGGATTGCTTGCATATCCAGCTTACATATGCACACATACATACGGTGCAGCAGTGAGAATCACCTGGTCAACAGCTGATGAGGCAGAATTTTCAAAAGGAACCTCTGATTTTCAGATGCTGAATATTTAGTATTCCCAGAAATCGGGAGTAAGAAAGAAATTAAGCAATGTTACTTATCAATTTTAAATATCCATGTTGTGTGGTCATCATGATGCACAGAACAGCAATTCCAAAATTAAGTACCTATAACCACCAGTAAGAGAAGTACAACACATGGGATTTATTATTTATTTGCTTTGTGTTAATGCAATGTGTACGTTTGTTATCAGTACACTCTGGGATCTAGCATTAAAAATAAACCAGTCTCAAGTAACTATACCCTTTAGGTTTCACAAATATTGCCAATAGGTATAATGATGCTTTGTTTGCCTGCATTTACTTCTCTGTTTTGTAAATACAAATATTTGGTCAAGGCATCTGCTTAGTCAAGAACTGTGACTGCTGATCCAGGTGCACATTTTCAGACCTGTGCACAGTAGAAACACATCTAAACGACTGAGTACGCAAATTACCAATCAGGTGGTTAATTCTTTACACATCTATGATGATGTGCAGTCAGTGAACCAGCACAAAGGTTAGATACCTGTACTTGAAAATCAGACCTGTGGTTTGTTCAGAGTAGAATTTAATAAAAGGCAATGCAGAAAATGTAAGTTTGGTTATGTTAATTTTAGGTTGTCATTACTGCTGTTTGGAATTGCTTGGAAAACAAATACAACATTTTTGCAATTAGACCCCTGATCTATGAAAGCACTTGAGCAACTGTACAACTGTAAGCATATGAGTAGTCACTTTAATGAAATTACTACTTATATACATGAATTATCCACTCATTTTAAGTGATTTGCTGGATCAAAGCCTTTCTTTTTCAATTAGAGCAGCAGAGTTAAAGCAATGTAACATCTCCAGTTTGGAGAAAATAACAGACCAAAGGTATCTGTATCAATATAGATATTCCAGAAGGGAAGGAGAATAAATGAGACCTGTATTAAGCACCCATATAACTACTCTACATCAAATACTATTATCAGTTTAACTTTTTTTTCCTAAAAGATTAAACTGCATTTCATTTCAAACCTTGTAACAAAACTCCGCACTACTTCAGTTTGTGTAGAAGCTGAAGAAGTTAACACTGCAGGAACTTGGATAAAACCATGATTTAAAATACCACTTCTACTTTTTAACAGTGGTAAACAGAGTACATTATAAATCTCCAGCGTAGCCTATTGAAGTGTCAGAACAGCTCATTCAAAGTCATACATTCTCTTCTGAAAGATTTTAGTATTATAATCGAAAATTCTCTCCCTCAGATGCACCTGAGAAGCATTAGTTTCTTGGTGACTTTAAGAACCAAATCCTCTAATACAAACCTAGCTTTTCCCACAGGCACTTGAAAATATTTAGCATTTTTTCAGTTGAATGCAATTTTCATAATAAAGTAGCTCACTTGGCTACCTGACACCACAGACAAAGACACCAAGCAAGCAGCTACTGCCAACTTCGGCAGAGCGCAATCTCCCCCCAGTCACATACGTAGGTCAGCTTTTAAACCTCCAATTGCTGCAACAATTCAAGCAATTTATGTGTACAAGTGCCCATGTCCTTTATCCCAAAACATCCAAACACAGCTCTTGCGCACCGGATGTCTTTCAATCAACCTTAATGGCAGGTACACCAGATCTTACATTTTTGTAGCATTTAAATTCTACTTCGATGGCCAGTTTTAGGACACCAAAAAAGCCCTTTGCTACGCTAAAGCTGATTTGGATGCCTCATTTTATTTTCTGTGTTTTAGGGGATGGTAATCAGAATTGGCTTAATATAATGTCTATTCTACTCTGAAATAGATTCCTCCACATAAACACACAGCCCTTCCTGAGCTGCACAGGCTCATCTTTAATGATGCTATCCTTTTAGCGAACTGTTCATTTAAATTTCCCTGGCAAACCTCTTAGAAAAGTATGGGAATGAGGTATCCTTTTTTTTCTGTGCCAGAATACCCAGTCCGCCCTATCAAATCAGAAACGTTTGTATCTCACTGCATCTCCAGCAGTTTTAAGGGCATTGTTTTAGGATTCTGGTACTTTTTTTAAATCAAACGGCACAATGATCCTGTTTTACTTCCATCCACTTAGCCTATTAATGCAGGCTAATACTGCATGTTCTCGTGGCAGCAAAAACTAAAGTGTACCCAGAGACTACAGTGATAGATTACATGTACATGCTGTGTCATATCCAATTAACTCAAATTGACTGTGTACTGCATTATGCTGTTAGTGCATGGAAGATCAATAAATATGGAGAAAATCCAACAAGGCTCTCTCCATTCCCATCCAATTCTAGTAGGTCTGAGACAGATCATGCTCCTATGATGTGTATGCTGCTGCTGAAGAGGGCAGGTGGTGCATAGACACCATTCAAACTTGGCCTATTCAATCTAAACTCCTCTAACTCTCCATTCATGCATAGCAAAACACCATCTGGTCCTATTTTGCCTCCAGCAATCACAGCTGACCAAAAACGATAATAACAGCTGTTGCAAAACAAAAGCCAAACAAAGGGGGGAGGGAAAGGTTAGAATGAAGTCCAGTGCTGCAAAATACTCCATGAAGTGAGAAATGGAAAAGGAGCCATTCAAACGTCCAATCCCCATTGAAAAGAGTCAGTGCAAGACTTCTGGTTAAACTTGAGATATTTAATCCATCTGTCCTGCAAACCACAATGGTCAGGTGATAATATAAAATTGAGATTATGTTGCATAGAGGTATTTAAAGCCTTTGTTCTCCAAGTTAGAAACTAATGACCCTGTGTCAGCTAAAAATTAAACCTCCTTATGTTCTTTCATCATGTGTCAACCTGGGTTAATGTGAAAGTAGAATGTGGTTAACCGGGGTGATAAAGCATCTGAAACCTTGGGAAAAGAAGGGAGCAGTTAAGTACTTGTAAATGATATGAAGGAAAACGTTCTCTAAAATGTGTATGACACTGAAATCATACGGATACTGCATTTTCCCTGTATAAATTGCATATTAAGTGATTTAAATTAACAGTTTTATTTATGACCTCTGATAGCAAAGTTATTCACTTAGATGTAGAGAATATGAACACCAACTTGCACAGTTTGAAACACAAGATGTTCTGCAATATGCTATTGTGGGTAATATAAAATATAATTTTGTAGCAAGGAGGGGGATGCTGCAGTTTTTCATGATTCAGATTTCGATATATAAAATGTAGTCCTGCTTGATGATTAATTTTTTTTTAGCTGGAGTAATTAAAACTATTTTTCCTGGAATTGACCATCAGTAGTTCAGCAGCTCTTAATCAAACGTGATAAAACTCAGGATTTATTAAATCATTAAATGAGTGTAATAACACCTGCTTCTCGCTGCAAATAGTTGAAAACAGACTTCAGTTGTAATTAACTCTTATCATTAGTGACATTTTTCCAACGATACTTCATAGGTCTTCAAAATGACAATTACAGAACTAATACACAATTACTGTCACATGCAGTTTAGCAATTATTTCTGAAGACAGTTGTCTAAAGGTTTCAAAAAGACTATAAAATGGTTCCTTTTGTTATGTAACATTGCTTAAAACTGACACACAAAACCATCCCTCACAGCCAGCCTCTGCTGTGCCATTTCTAATGCACGCAGGCTTCCTCGCTCCTGGAATAAACACCCTCCACCCCAGACATGATTAGATATCATACTAAGGCTATTATGAGCATGGGTAGCTGTCAACTAACACCTATTATGAAAAGCTTCAATTTATACACGTTTTTTTCTGCTCCAAGAAATCTATACATTTCTAATTAGAATCTCTTGCTGTTCAATATTTGTACATAATAAACAGTACCTGAGGATTATGAAATATTGAAAGCTGAATTCATTATTAATAAACCCACACTGTATAGTACCTCCACCCACGAGTCTGGCTGCAACTTTTGGGGAATCTATATTCCATTATTTTTTGGTTGTGGCCCGAGCATGGTAGCCATGGACACGGCCTGAAACAGGATTAGGATTCTGCTCAGGTTTGACACTTGCTGTTTTTAATTTTCATTTTATCATAAGCAGTTTAAGATTGTTGCCAGTGGTAATTTGCAATTTTTATCAAGACCTCTTCATTATAGCTTCTGACAGGACAGATGCTGTAATTAATCATGCAAGACAACTGGGGATAGTGGTCAGACTGCACCCACAGCACAGCTATTGCAGGCAAAGAAGAAAAAGGATTTCTCCCCTCTGTCAAGAGTAAAAATGTACAAACAGCACTAACATCTTGACAACATGCTGGATGCAAATGTTACCAAATCTTTCCCATGAAATATCTCCCTCTCCATTGCTTTCTACCTCCACAATAAAATACAAATCAGATAGCCTGGACCAGCCAGAGCCAGGGGTTCAGAGGCAGGAGGCCCAGGGCAATGGCTACGTTTGCAACTGAAAAGTAATTTGAAGAAAACCACAATTTGTGTTTATTTTCATCTGTGACCACCACAGCTCAAACAGGTTCCCTATCCTGTTCCTGCTGACACGTAGCACAGGGCAGGACAATTGCTTTATAACTCCACCACCCGTTTTCTCTCTCCGAAGTCACGGAAACCTCAAAGAAGTTGTGTGGGACTCTTCAGCCTCCTGCATTTATGGACACAAGAGCTGATTGCAACCCTGATCCAGATCAGTACCCATCTACACACAATGGCTGAGAAAATAAAAATCCAAAAAGTTAACTAAAGTTTCTACGTATGTGTTTTTATAAGGAAATATTGATGGTTTTATTTTTTCTATCAAAGACTTGTGGCCCATCAGTTTTACTGAAATGTGTTTATTCTATAGCAAGATAAAAGCATTTATTTTAGATAAGCAAAATACAAACAACTTAATTGCTGCTATCGTAACTCATAAAAAAGTATAAAACAGCATAAAAACACAATAAGCAATGTAGCAATTAATAATTCATGTTACCAGTGTTTACATTAAAGCCTCATTTATGAAAACTTTACAACACATGATATGAAAACTTACAACTTTTAAAGAAAATATTTACATTGATTATTCAGCTGTGGAGTTTCTTTTAAATATTCTACCGGTTTTACAGCATATTAAAAACTCTTGCATTTTTCATCTTAGCTTTTTGTAATAACAGTTTTATTTAAGTGCATTTCCCTTTTAAAAATACAGTGTATTAAATCTGAAACTCATCACTTCGACACAGAATATAATATTCACATTTGTTCTGTAATTGGAATTAACGTAATAGGGTAACTGTCAATATATATTTTTTGTTACAAACTATGGTACGTTTATTTGGAGAAATGTAGTGAAAGGATGGATCAAACATTTAAGTTCAGTTACTTGCATTTGTTTTTCTGAAGATATTTAGGACAGAAAATTAAGAGCTTTGGCAAAAAATCTGTGATTTACTCTATTTCTTTTCATGACAAAAAATGCCATCACCTAACTCATGTCATACAAGTATGATTGTATGAAAACCAATCATCATCATTTTACAGGTAGTTACAACTGTGCTTTAAGGGCTTCATGAGTTCGTACTGCCTTGAAGTGCATTATTCACTTTTAGAGAAAGAAGGGTTGTATCATATAACTCTGAAAGGCCATTTTGCAGTCATAAGGTCCAGGTATGTATCAGGCCATTTGATTCACATATTGTAGGTAAAGCTTAAATAAATTAAAAAGGCATCACATGAAAAAGAGCACAGCTTTTTTTTTTTTTTTTTTAAACAAAATGATTTATAGTCAGCTAAAAGATGATACACAGCTACATTGTAGTTCTTTATTGCCTATCTAATAGACACTTTAGAGGATCATTTGATCTGTTATGCATCCCTGCATAACTACCATCAACAATTTACAGTTTTCAGCCAAATGTGGTTTACCCCTACCCCCTCCATCAACACAAAGCAATGCTGCAAGATCATTTATCTTCAGAAAATACTGACCTGTGATAATACTTGAGTCTGTGTCTGGGATTGTATTTGTGACTGGTGCTGCTGAGGTGCTGGCTGAGGGCTCCCAATGGCAGGGATTGGAGATGTGATCTGAGAGGCTACTGGAGAGTGCTGCTGAGGAGAAGGCTGTGACTGGTGTTGCATATGCTGCATTTGCTGCTGCTGCATTTGCTGAAGCTGTATGTGCTGAAGCTGCTGTTGCATTTGCTGTTGATTAATTTGCTGCTGAAGATGCTGCTGCTGCTGCTGCAAATGTTGTTGCATGTGGTGCTGGAAATGCTGCTGTTGCATTTGTTGTTGTATTTGCTGATGCATTTGATGTTGATGTAGCTGCTGTTGCTGCATCTGCTGCATCTGTTGCTGCTGGAGCTGCTGTATCTGGTGCTGCTGGCTTTGCATTGAGGGACTTACTTGAGATGAAGATGGTGTTGCCACCATATTTGTTCCCATAGAGCTTATCAATGGAGCTGCAATGTTTGTTGGCATGTTTGGTGCAATGGTAACAGATGCTACAATCTGATTCATTGGCAGTCTCATGGTTAGAGGTTTTGGAGCAATTGCTCTGGGAAGGGACTGTTGAAGACTTTGAGGAGATGCCGATACTGTTGCATGTTGAGAGAGGGAAGTATTCAGAATAAGGGAGGAAGACAAATTTGTGGATGCCAACGTTTGCTGGACAGAACGAATTGTCTGGGCCTCAGCAGACTCTGCAGCAGCCTGTGTTTGGAAGAGGAATTCAAAAACTTGTATTGGTAAAAACAGACATCATCCCCTATCAAACTTAAAAAAATTATCAAAATCCCCTCCTGCTCTTTCTTCCTTCAGTGTACGTAGTTCAGTGGGAAGGGGGAAGACTTTGCCCTCGAGAGTTTATCCAATTATTGTAATGGTCCATTTAGGAAACACAGTTCAGAACATCCTCTGAGTTGCCCACTTTATTCATCCATTACAAGCTTTTACCACCTTGTTTCTTGCTTGTCCTCTTTCAATACTTAAATCTATCTGCTTGCACTTATGGTATTTAGAAAGGTACAGATCCTGGCTCAGTATGACCTGATCAGTTTAAGTTATCCTGCCTTTTTAAAGAGAAAACTTTGTTTCTGTTTACAGAAAGTAAACAGTTACAGGGAAAGAAAAGCTACAGCTACTCAGGGAGACTTTTTCATCTTCAGTTTTCTATCAGGAAGCATTAATCAGCAGTCTGAGAAAGGCCACTGATCCACTGATCCATTACATCACACCTTCGTCTGTCTCTGTACACAGTACCTCCAGTTCTTACCTGAATGCCAATTCTTTATTGGACAAAAAAAATAAAAAAATGCATGTACGCCCTGGTTCAACACCAGAAATTCACAGTAGATCTTTGGGCTGAAAGAGCCCAACACTCTCTATATGCTTAAAAACAACAACAACAAAACAACGCTGTTCTTTGGGAGACAAATCCGAACAGAAGCATACCCCAATGCACCAATTATCATGGTATAAGAACAGTGTACAAACACACAACTTCTCAAAATACTGCTTACAGACTAAAGCTCCAACAAGTAGGATTCATCTTGCACAGTTTTATACATCTGCATTGCACACAACATGTAACCTAGTTGCCTAGAATCCCTTTAAAGACAAAGGAGAGAAAAACTCTCTTCCAGTACATTTAATTGATCTATTTTAGACATTTACCTTAGAATGTGCCAAAACTTGCCTCAGAAATGCCTGTACTATCCCTACTCTCAACAAGAACCTTCGGTAGCAAAGCTATAGCAAGGATGTCATAAGTAAGGAGAGATGAATTCTGGACTTTCCACCCTATCTTCTTGCAAGTCACTCAGCAACCCAGGTTTCGCAGATTTAAGGAGAAAATACGATTTCAGATGTTTTTTAAAAGCGACTTTAGGACTGACAAGATAAATTCCCTCAAAGGTATTTAGAATTCCAGCTGTCATTTCACTTAGATAATATCCACAAAGTTTTTAATAATGCAATGCTAAGTCCTAGAGACAACAGAAAAACACAGCTATGTATGCCTAATTTCTGTTGTTGTATTTCTAAGCATTAATTAAAATACACAGCAACTTTCTATACAATTTACTAATGCTCTGCAGTTGTGTATTCAAATAAGTATTCTTCATTCTCAGAAGGTGGATCTCATCAGTTTAGTTTATTGCTTTCTAGTGATCAAGGATATTTTTGTAGTTGATCTTTACAAAGTATTACATGAGAAATAGCCAGCTTGATTTCCATACATATATCAGATGGACATAAACATACTTCTATTTACAATATTCAGAAGCAACAGATATACAATCAACCTAGTGCTGGCAGCTAAAAAGGTAAATTGTCAAATAAGACAACAGAGCTTTGTTTTTTTTCACATGAGTTTTATATTAACTAGGGATTCGCTGCAATATTTAGTGTGGCTCACTGCCAGCTAGTCCATTTGTAAGTACTCTCCAAATTCAGAGCCACAAGACTTATTATTTTTCCCCCTCACCTGCAAGAAATACTTAAGCTTTGTCATACAGTAACTGCTCTCCAAGTCCGTGCCAAACAAGTTTGTCTTTGGAGAAGTAGCACTTGAGGAAAGGAAAAAAAACCTCTGTGAATACCCTGTAAATCTTAATGTCAAAAGGTCGCTGTATTTTTCATGACTAAATTTTACTTCTATTGTGAAGTGCATTATTTTGCTTCCAAAGATAATGGATGATGTACATTTGCAAACTTATTGTTTGGTAATCATTATTGTGCCATTAGAGAGATTAAATTTCTGTTGCAGGGTTCAAGCAGCAGCACAATGAGTTTCAGAACTGTATTACAGAAATCCTAGGATTCTACTTTTGTTCTGCATAACAGCACACCCCTGCTTCCATATTTAAAACAAGATTGCCAAAAGCTAACTTGCATTATATTGAAGACATTATTAGGCTTACCTTGGAAACAAGGCTTGCTCTATAGGCTGCAAGTGCCTTTAGGTATTCTTTTTTGGCAGCTTCAGTTTTTCTTTTATAAACCTATTAAAAGAGACCACAATTTCACCAACTTCAGTTATTAAGAAATTTTTGCCAGAATGTTCCCAGAATCACTTGCAAATAAACAAACAGCTCAGATTAAAAAACAGAAAACGCTCCGTGGGAAGAAAAAGCCCATGTAATATTAAATATTTTTGCAGGTGGCCACAGACTTCCAGGTCCATTTGCTGGACTTTCACCACAATTTATGTCAATTTATCATGAAGGAAAAAACCTGCTCAAGCAGCTGACTGTTTGACAAGACCAGCTATGCACACTTCACCTCCCTAGGAAATGATATTTTACTGACACTGAGTGTTTCAGATGCTGAAAAGTATCTACAGTAGTATAAAGTATAAAAAAAAAGGGGCACCTAAGCAGTAATTTTATTTGAAAAGTATTCAAACTGCACTTTAAAAAATCATACATTTAGAAAATGTGGTTCACAGAGTTTTGACAATTCACTTTCCCCAAAGTCAGTATTAGAGAATCCCACAGAGCTTAAGAAAAACAGTTAAGCAAAAATTGAATAAATCTATATCTCTGATCATCAGAAAATTTAAAGTTCATCCTTAAATCATGATCATCATCTGTTAAATGATCATCATCTGTCAGACTATTAAGTATGACTAGGAGCTGCATATCAACAGGCAAAGAGCCCCAAAGGATTTTTTTTTCCAATCCATGTGTAGGAGTTATATGTGTATAGTAAGAAGAATAACCCTCAAGGAAGAACAAAACTCATCATTCTGTACAAAGTTTGAGTTGGAGATAACATTTCACACACGACATTGTAATGAGGCACAGAGGATTGGCTTCAAAGGTTTGAAATCAACACGCTTTGTAACAAATTCATAAGGCAGATCAAAGGAAAAGGTAAATGTGCTGTACCTTCCCCTTTCCTATTCTAACGTCTGATTAATAGGAAACAAGAGCTTTGAAATAGGAATCATCAAAAGATTGTCTTAACAGGACTCCAGGACAGTATCACCTGAGCTTTTTACAAACTGCCTTTTAAAATTTAAAGACAAATGCATCCATTCAATATTACCTACTGGCTCTTATAACAAAATGCTTTTTAGATGCGAGATCTTCAGCAGGTTCAAAAAAATCAATGCAGCTCTATAGAGTAAGAGGTCTACATCAGCAAGCAGTCTTTCCCTCAGAGCAGAGGTAGAAGGATTCTTTACAAGAATTACTATATTACTTCTTGTAAGACATCCCTGCACCTGTGTTTTTTTTGTTTGTTTGTTTGTTTTGTTTGTTTTTACCTGTTTTTGTTCTTCTCCTAAACTGTCCCACATTGATGCCACTATTTTTGAAACCTCTCCAAACGTAGCATTCGGGTTCTGCCCTTTAATTGCAGCTTGCGTATCTCTGAAGAAAAGGGCATATGCTGACACTGGCTTTTGTGGCTCGTTGGGATCTTTCTTTTTCTTCTTCTTTGGAGTCTTGGGCTTCTTGCCAGAATCTGGGGCAGCTCTTTTTTCTCCAGTAGCCTGAGAAACAGCAATAACAATAACAGTCTATATATGCATGAAATATAAGAATACTGAAAAATTATTGATGGTCTGGCTTAATAGTATATGGATAAAACTACTGTGTAGGCAACGTTTTGGAGAGTCCTGTTGTGCAAGCCTTTCTCCTACCAAATAGCATTACTCTCAGTTATTCTCATCAGATGTACTGGAACTAAATGCCTAAAGAGCTACCACCTATCATAAGCATGGCTCAGAATCAATCATACAAGCTTGACCTGAAAAAGTACACCCTGACATCCTGAATTTCTATTTAAAAAATATATATATATATTTATAGTGTGCTTTGAATAGGTGATCTATGTTTTTCCACTAAGATGCAATTCCTGCAGCACAGACTCAAAAGACAAGAGCTTGGAGGCATTTCCTGGCTTCCAGACCTATGGCTGCCAGCTTTGACACAGGTCAGGGGTTAAAAAAACCTTACCCTTGAGGCAAGAAACAGCAGCAGCAGCTCTGCACTTTCTTTCCACCTGCAGCGAACACGCCCTGTGCCCACCACCCACCCCCAGCAGGGGGGTCCCCCACACCTAACACCTCCTCCTGCCCAAGGAACACAGGAACCTGGAGTAGCACCCCAAGGATGGGGGTACCTCCAGTCCCATTGCACCTCATGTCCCATACCCAATTCCGGTGAATGACTTATGGCAGCAAATGGATATTGTGGCTCTAAATATACCTCTCACAGTCCTTTTACTTTGATATTTTCAGGATACTGTACAATACTCTTTCCATTAACTTAATGAGAAAACCTATCACAGAACAGTCTAAGTTAACCATTTAAATATACTGCTATAATAAGACTTTGCTCTATTTTGTTGATATTTTTTTTCCATTTCTAATAAGTTAAACTAAATTAACTACACTTTCAGATAGAAGAAAGCTTATTTTATTTCCTTCCGAACACACCATATTTTAAATGACTCCAGTGAACAGTGATATGACAAAACTGTCCAAAGCTGATGAGCAAAGAGATTCACCAGATCTATAAATCTAAAATGGATTATTAATGTATTCGGCTGAAAATAGATAGATAAGCATATTCTGACCTCTGCTATCTTGGAGGTGTCATGGAAACTTCCTAAGAAGCTAAACAGCAAATGGGTCACATATCCCACAATACAATAAAGTGTGTGTTTTATATGACCACACTGCAGCAGGGATGACATCGCCACATTCATGAAAACACAGAATATAGACATGTAAAGCTTACTCACTACAAAGCAGAGAATAACTTACTCTATTTGATTCATCTGCATCTTCTTCGTTTATAGAGCTGGATGGGGAAGGAGTGGCTGATTTACTTGCAGGAGGGGAGGGAGAAGTGTGTGGCAAGTTAGTGCCTCCTAAATTTAGCCCCAGCTGTGCGCTTAGCTGAGACTGGTTAATGGTGGTAAGCTGAGAGGGAGGCATAATTCCTGAATGAGCATCCGTCATGTGGACAATGGATCTCATAATCAAAGAATGGTCTTGGCGGTACTGAGAAACTTGTGTGTGACTCTGATCCTGAAAGAGATTGAAACAGTATTTAGTCATTAACAGAGACCATTATAGCATTAGCAAGTACAGTTATTTTTACAGGCTCACACAACTGAAACTGTCTGCTTGTGGTTTGTTTTGTTTCTTTTAACAAATTAAATATATTTTTAATAAATGAAACACATCAACAGTTACCACACTTGCTTCAGACTTTGCTTCTCCCCCAGTCATTTTTGGGGGTAATAAAAATTGTATTTCCCCATTTTTAAACATTTTTTCTCTTGATGCCATGTGAAATACCCACATAAACAACTGGCTGACTGATGACACAGGGAAAACATTGCAACTGAGTAGACAAACTGCTGTCAAATGCAGAAAGCAAACAAAACAGAGAGGGAGTGTGGAGAGAAAAGCATCTTCCTATACTGACATTCAATTATTCATAGCTGTTACCAGTAACAGCAGTAGGTATAAAACAACCCTGTTTAAAATAACTTTTAAATCCCCTTCAGACAAAGAACATCGCCCTGCCACATCTTGAGTGCAGACGCAGCAGCACTCTAGAAAACTGTTCAAGTAATCCTAATCACTCCTAAAAATCCTTTTTTTGCCAACAACATACAAAATGATACGTTTTTATCTTTAATCCAACAATCATATACATGTGGAAGTAGCAAGCTATGCACCAATCACCAGTTTATTTTTCTTGTACTTCATGTCTTGGAAACTCAAGTGCTTGCATGTTTTTGTCTCTACTGTTTCTTGAGGGCAAAAACTAAGTCGCCTTCTTCATCTACACAACACTTATCACAGTTGTAAATAAAAGGAAGTCAGACCCCAAAGGTAAAAGTCAACTAGAATCTGACTATGAACAACTCAGTTTTGTTATTTTTTTAACCATACACAGACCAATAAGGGAACATTTAAATAGAAGATTTTAAAACCAATTAGTAAGTGAAGAAAATAAATAGCTCACAAATTGATTTAGCAACTTGACCAATCTATAGCCATTGTTCAAACAGACACAACCATGACAAGTACACTAGATTTTGAAAACTCCTTCATTATTAATAACCCACATTATTAATAACCTAATTAGTAGCAGGTACAATGATCTTTAATGAAATGCCACTGAGCAAAACTGCAATGCTTGAGAGCCCAGCATAGAGCCCACCTAACTTCCACAGCAGATTTCGACTTTTCCAGTGCTCTCTTATTAAGTTTGTATAAGCTCAGATCGGTGTTCAAAAATCTGTATCAACACTGAGGTTTATCCCAAGTGACTTTGCTCTTACTCTTTCCCAGTGGAGGCAGTGGGCTCTGTTCTTCTAGAAACCTCTTATCTGGGACAAGTGAAAAGAAGCGATGCACTTCTTAAAGAAGAAGCTTGCCCTGCCTCATCCATCTTACGTATAAGTGCTGCAGCACATCACTTCCTTATAGCAATAACTTATTAATTCTGAATTTGGCATGCCTGTGTCTTTCTGCTGAAACCCAGATATAGAAAAGAAAGCCTTTGTAGCATAAAAGCACACGTATTGTGTTGCACCTGGACCCAATACAGATGAAGTTAACTCCACATGCTCATGATCCAGGTCCTATCTGCTAGGTCTCATCTTCATTTTCTCCCTACTTGCCAAGCCATTGCCCCTCAGTTCATCATCCACACTGGACCATGCTGCTTTTCCTACCTCTTAGGGTCTTTTAATATTTTCAGTAAAGGAGCATAGTTCCTTAGAGATGAATGCATGTGCCAAAAGTGAAGCACTGATACAGAAAGATCAAAACATCAGACTTACTGACTGAAATACCCATTTGCTTCAGGGCACCATTCTGTGAAAATTTACGACCGTTAACTAGAGGGTCATTTTGATTCAGATTTGATTCAATTGTATTGGCAGCGGCATCTGGAAGTCGTATGAAGTGTTTTTAAAAGGATATCACTTTCTGCATATTACTCCATTCCTTTCTAGTTTACAGACATTGCTTTATTGCATTAAGAAGAAAAAATGTGTTGTTAAAGCAAAGGTGGAGATCTTCAGAATTACCTTCTCTCATAAAAAGCAACTTTCTTCATTATATTGCAGGCAGTACTTTCGTAGGGCTGTTCTATGGCCTAAAAGGCTAGCCTTTGCTCTCTCTCTATTGTTACACAAAACAGGCCTTTTGGGCCTTTACACCAAGGCAACGAAATATGATGACATGGGTTACAAACGATTTACTCTAAGTCTTGTCATTTCAGTTGCATGTACGATTTTATTGAGACTAAATTCTCTTGACTTGCATTGACCCAGAATCTAATTTTATACAAAAGCCCATGAATTCTTAACTGTCACTTCTTCTGAGACTACTTCTGAGGCTATTTGATGCTTCTGTGTTTTTTCATCAACTTATTTAATTCCTGTTTTTCTCTTCTATACCTCTTCCCAATTTTTAATATTTAAAAACTTCACTAGAAGCTAGAATTAGGAACAACAATATCTTGTAACTGGCTCTCTAGGACCAAGCAGGTAAGACTTACTATATAAAAGAAGATATTTTATAACATTTCCAATCATTTCTCATTACATCCTATGTGCATATGATAACCAGGAATTCATCTGTTTTCTGCACTTAGAATTAAAGTTATGTGGCTAATTAATAAAAAAAATGGAATGGGAAACTCATTTTTATTTTGCGGTTTGGTGTTGTGGGCCTCAATAGACAAGGAAGCATAAGCCATTGTTTATGGCTGTACAGTGGTTTGGTATGTAGCAAGAAAGCAGGGTGGTCAATAGTAACAATGAGGTTTGCAGCATTTGTATATAAATTCTGAGTAAACAAAATCTATCTAAGGAGGAGTATATACTCAAGAAAGCAAGTTTTCCATCAGTTATCTCACCTCTTATTTTTTTCCCGTATTTTATGAAGACCAGTATTGAAACAAAAGGATCAACATTTCATTATGCATGAAATGTTAAACAAAGAAATGTTTAACAACAACAAAAAACATCTTATATCAAGAGAATCCATGGAAGTACTATTACAGTAAAACATCCACAAGACACCCTAATTATATTACTACATAAAAATTGAAAAGGCAAAGCTTGTGCATTCAAAATAATCCACTGAGAATACTGTGAAAATTTTAGAGAGTAACACATGCTCATTTCTTATATAAACTTAACTAGAAGTAGAAGCAGTGTTTAAGCATTATGAGCATCATAAGCATTCAGGATTTTCATCACATAATGCAGAAATGACAGATTAGTTCTGAAAAAAAATAAAAAATCATGGACTCCTCAAGTGAACAGAAGGAAGTGTTGAGTGAACCTGATATGCTGTACTGTTTTGGACTGAAGTTATGCAAAACTTGGTGATATTAACATACAGTCAGGCACAACTCAACCACTGGTTTACTCAGTTTAACAATCAAAAAAGGACTTAATGGATGAAATGGAAAACCAAAGAGAAATGACTTGTGTGATTCCCCTACAGACTGAAGTGACTGTCTCAGATCTCTATCGTAATCCTACATAGTGCTGCAAAAAATATGGTTTAGATAAATTTATTAAATAAAAGCAAAATATGGTCCAAAACATTTTCCCCTCTGAAAATTAATTGGCTTTCTGTCATCACTCCTGAATAGCTCCAATAGCACCCATTACGAAGAGTTTTATCATTTGATGTGTTGAAGACATCAAAGGCATCGTGAGGTTACCTATCCAACAAATTATCCTACTTTCAACTATTCTAATCTATTTAGAGTCATGTCAAAGAAGTCCTATTTAGTCATATTTAGAAGTCATGCCAAAGGACATCTCACAGCATATGCAAAATATGTAGATTATTTTAGTTTGATCTGCAGAAATATTAGGTTCTCAAAATTTGATAAAAATCAATTCCTCTACAGCCAAGAAAGCAAACAGAGTAATGAGACTTTAAATTAAGGTGTGAACTCTAGTACTTTAATTTATACAGTGTATACAGTTAAAGGTGTTTTTCAATAAATTCTGTACCTCATCCAGCCAAAGTGAAGCATACCCCTGAGAATAAAGGAAAAAACTATGGTAATAAAGGATAGTTACTTCTTCTGATACTAAGTCATTAGGCATCCAGTAGATAATAGAGCCACTAACAGAGCTAGTATTTATTTTGATAGATAAATGGTACAGAGGGCCAGCCATGACTTCTAGAGATGACATAATTTCCACTTTTCCTGCATTTTGAGAATTGTTTGCAGATAATTTCTACACTGACAAAATTTTGAACTCCACAAACATTCAACAGGATATATGAAAAATAAATAGGAAAATGTTTTTTTTAGACCATTTTGTGTAATAATGGTGTCTCAATTAAAATCAATGTCTACAATATTCAATCATGCAAATAGGCAACACCTCCACCAAGATGTAGGGCTGCGATCTGACCCTATACTAGATGAGCCAGGTTTTTAAGAAAAGTGGTCAAGTCTGTGGTAAATCTGCCAATAAAAATAACTACGCAAAAGCTAACATTTATGTTTATGCTCACTGTGCCCTGGTTTTGGAAGTTGACTTAAAACATTATATATTCTTTTGCCTTAGGAATTTGTCACTGTCAATGTAACATAAGCTGATGTAATACTTTGAAGTATTCGAGTTGAAGCAAATGCACTTCAATGTAAAGAGTGGAATCCTCAGTTGTGCTTGTCTGTAAATTACTCCCTTTAGTTTTGGGCAAGTCAGCATATCTCCAGAAGAAATCCTCAATACTCTTTTTCTCCACGAGCAAAATAGAGATAAAAGAATCCATTAATCTAAATTTTTACAAGATTGGAATTCACTGCCAGTCAAAACAAATCAAACTAACAGGATGCTTTTCTCTGTCAGAGATTAAATCCTTACTTAATAGAGTATAAAACAGTTGCACTCGGTAACGCCACCACTGCAGAAGTGTCCTTCCTCTCCCCCCTTCAGATACTGTGATCAGTGATGATTTGTCAAACTACAGTTATCAGGAGATCCACTACAAGCAGCAGCTTCTTTTTTTCTAGCAATGAGAACACT